CTCTCTCTCTCTCTCTCTCTCTCTCTCTCTCTCTCTCTCTCTCTCTCTCTCTCAGACTGGCCCAGGCAGGTGCAAGCCTTTAGCTTTTACTGCAGCTTCTGGTGTGTTTTATAAGGAAATATTTTCTGTTTATCTGGAGACTAAAACATGAACTCTTAGGTTTGCTGTTAAATCACTATTGAACCAATAAGTTCAATCTACAATAATGGAAATACTTCTGAAACAACTTTACCTAATACCATTTTGTTTTTACTGGATTAAGGCTCTTTCCATACTTGCACATGCACATTGGGTGGCACACAAAAGTTTGGTCACCATTTAGAATAAAACAAAAACAGTAAAATGATGCAGGATTTCAATCAAACATTTATTGTGCGATTACTGAAATGCAAAAGGGACATCATCATGTCACATTTTAAGGTCAAGGGTGTTTATGGGTTAAAGGGTGAGTTCAATGGGGGCCTGTGAAGAAATTAATATCTTACCTGCTGTAGACAGCTCTACAGCTGTCATTTGGAGAAATGAAAAGTAATTTTGACTGCATTATTGAGCTAACAGCTAATTGAATCAAACCAAGACCAAYGCAAATTGCCACCATTTATGCAAACAGTATTTTATRAWCTTTCTCACTATGTCAGRTTCACATCACAGAAGATTCAGAAAAATATGTTTTAACTGAAAGTACACCCCCTGGTGCTACAGCCACTGCTAGTTGTGAATAACTGTAAATTTTCATGTGAATAATTGAGCAATATCAAACGACCATGTGAAAGTCATTAAATTAGTATTTAAAGGAATTAGTTTTAAGGTTAAAGCTGTTTTAAGGTGGCGGGAATCCAGTTTCGGTCTTGGTCCGGGTTGGATTAGTTGTCAGCTAAAAAAAAAAAGGTCAAAATGAAGCTTTCTTTCTCTAAACTGACAACCTTCAAAAAGCTCATATGATGTTACTTATAACATTTTAAAAGATCTAATACATTCAGTTTCTTCTTATTCTCTGCTTAATCTGCAGAGCTTAGATTAAAACAAAATTCAACTTTATAGACAATCCAACAACGACCTGTTTAACTAAACAGGTTTTGAAAAAAAAACAAACAAATAAAATAAATGCTGCACGGCAAAAACAAACAAACAAACAAACAAACAAACA